AATTTCATCGATAATTGTTGTTCATGTTCTTTGAAATCCTTTGAACAAAAATATTTTTTACATCCAATGCAAAAGCATCTTGCGGAAGGTTTATTACAGATTGAACATACACTTGATTCATTGACTACTGCCATTTGTTTTAGAAGAAAATCACTCGAATAAAAGTATATTATTTATTATTAGAAACTCTCGATCTAAAATGAATTCATATATATATTTACAAAAAGAAATGATTGTAAGTAAATATCTAAACTTAGTTTACGGGTTTCTGTAGAAAGGATAACGATGTTTTCAATAAACGAAAACTAAGTTTCATTGAATGTATAATGTATGTATACTGAGATTGACAAAAAAATCTATGAAAATTTCAATACTTTTTGAGAAAAACAGAAAATGATTGAAAATATGTGATGAGCTTTCAAATAACACTTTTTAAACCTTTCTTCGATATTTTTATTAAATATCACTAAATATAAAGAAGAGTTGTTTGACAACATTTGAAAAGACGAGCATAAATGAAGAGTTAACAAAATCTTTTTCAACAATTGTTTTCTTTGAAACAGTTTTGTTTTTAGTCAATCAAGAAAAAACGATGATAGAGAATATGAATCATTTTTTCGTGAGAAAATTTTTCATCGAAGAAAATAATTTTTATTTTAGAAATGTATAATTCAGGTGACTAAAATTCAATGGTTTGGTCATTATTCGATAAAATTGTGGAATTCCATGTAGAAGAATTCTATAAAGATTGAGCAAACTACTTAGAGATGAGTGCTATCAAAAAGGAGAATTTCATCTTCAACTTTAAAATATGGAATATGCTCGAATTTGTTGATTGGAAATGTACAAAAACTTATTATTCACTACGTTGGTTCTTTTCTTTGAGGATAATGGAAGCTGAGAATTTCGAACACTTCTCACCATTCATTCGGTGTTGAGCTGGAATGGTACAGAAAAATATCATCTCAAGTTGAAAGAAAACTATAAGAAACAACTATAAATATTTAGATGCTAGTCAAAATTTTTTCGGAATTCATTTTATCAAATATTAATATATTTGTTTGAGTTCTTCGTCAAGAATATTTTTCTATTAGACAACATCCTTCTTCAATATAAATAGCAACGATTCGTAATCCAGTCACGAATCGATCTGAGTATTTGCTTTGGTTTATCATGAATGTTGGCCAACAAGTATGATTTCATCAAGTCAAGTATTCATCACCTTTACGTAACATATAACAGCCATGTAAAAAGATCAACAGTCACTCATTCATTTCTTAATATTAAGTAGTAACAAATCGCTTAATATTTTATACAAAAATTGAAGTTATTCTACTTAACACCTAATTTACTTACATATCCGTTTAAATTATTCAGTTCGATGAATATGATTTGAAGTAGAGTTCTTCCCTGTTCTAAAAGGCACTGAGCCAAGTGTTTTTCGAGCCTTTTATAAAGAAATCATTCTAACTGGTTCATCAGCTTCGACACCAATATATTTTCTTTTGACTATAGTAGAGAAAAGAATGTAATTTGGACTGATCCAGTGGTTAGCTGAAAGTTTTCTTTTAAATAGCTCAGATAACATTATGTTGAGTCCTTATTGAAGTAGAAAGAGACTCAAAATTAAATGACAAGCAAGAAAATAAATTTAATATAAATTATTGAAGTACCTCGTTAACATTTTATATTAAAGGATCAATTGGCAACTACTAATGATCTTTTATCAATCTGAAGGATAAAGTAGCAAATCTTAAATGAATTTAAAGTTAAGATAAATGCTTTATCTCTACAACAAATGAACATTTACTTTAATAAATTCATTCATTTCTACTTTCTCATTTCTTACTTGTTATTCTATGATTTATTTGTTGTGATGCTTCATACGAAAGATATGCATGAAAAGTGACGACCTATACAAAAATAAAACGGAGTAAGATCAAACGATAATCATGTTTATTTTATTGCGAAG